GCAAACAGGTCCCTTCTCATGGACCAGCAGGAAATCTCCTGTGGACCCATGCCAGTCTGTGGACCGGTGCTTGAAAACCACTGTTCTAAATCGATAATTTGATCTTAAAAAGAGGCAAGGCTGGTGCAAAGCTTTCCAAATCAGACTCATGGCTCAGAACAAACAATAAATCTTATCTGCAGCTGAGAACTTGAATTATTAAGAAGGAGCATATTCTGCAAACATAACAAAATCCTATTCCTTCTAAATGATTTGCATGGTAGGACAGGACTGAAAAACAAACTGGAATTGCCACAAATGCCTTGTAGTACTATATATAAAAAATAAATGGTGTGAAAACATTACTAATCTTACTGTGCAATTACAACACAATCCATATATGTGACAGCTATTTAGTGCAGAAAGTGTACCTAACTTTCCAATTATTTTGGGTTATTTCCAATAGGATACATTTACTGGATCCTTGACCCTAAAGGCATAACTACCATTTTAAGTAACAGCATTAGCTTTCCAAAGGGTTAGTTCCAGACTTAGTAATGTGAACCATCCAGGGAGCCTCTGGATGATTGGTGGTGTAGAAATATAATAAACAAATAAGTATAGCTCAGACTCACTACTATCACATGAGAGTTATGTTATCCATGATTAACATACCCCACCAATTTTGGTGACTAACAAAAGTGTATGATTAATTTTAATTAATTTATTAAAAGCCTTTCTATCCCATCCCCTCCAGAACATCTTGGAATGGCTTACAATAAATAAATAGAATAAATTTAATTTAACTTGTTTCACTGATTTCAATAGCCTACTCCACTGGGTGAAATACAGGTTAGCTATTTCATGAAAGGAAGAACGTCTTCCATTCCTGGAAGGCTCCTCACCAGAAGCAGTAGGGGCAGGGAGTCAACCTTTCCCCATTTGCTCTCTCCCTGCATCTCCTCTCATTCTGCTCTGAAGGGTCCCTTGGGGCCCCAAAACAACTATTCAAGAGATACAGGGAACGGATGTGTAAGGAAGAAACTCAAAGACTGTCTCCTTACTTCTTCCAGTAGACATGGATCAGTATGTGGGATGGCCCACATTCCAAAGCATACATTTTTATTTATATTTCTATCTGTGTCACATTCCGCTGCATTGAAATCTGGTATCTGTCACAGAATTACAGCTCCTAGGAACTCACTTGTCATTTAATTAGCAGTTAGGAGACATACATGTCTCAGTGTAAAAGTAGGTTTGTGTCAGTTTCTGCAATGATTTTCTCAAATGGGTTATACAGGTACCTGCCAGTTATTTTTGACTGCAACTCCTATGAGCCCCAGCCATTGTGGCAATGGTCAGGAATGATGGAAGTTGTGGTCCAGAAGAGCAGGAGAATGCAGGTTCCCCTACCCCATTTTTAAAAACTCAGATCAAAACATGTGAACAAAAACCATGCTGTTACATATAGATATGATTTGGATGTAAGGTTAATGTTAGAGCTTAAGTCAATTTAAAAATAATTTTAAACACAAATACCTGCAATTCAAAATACTTTATGAAATTTGCCTTGGTAATCTAATTAGAACTTTGCCCAACTTCAGACAGCATGACCTAAACTTCACACAACATTTTTAGTTTTATATAATTATGTTTGGGTCATTTTTTAAAGATGGGATGTCTGATTTTATTTTATTTCCACATTACCTGGAAACTATAGCCAGCTATTCAAGGAAACATCCAAATATTGTTCAAATGTGAACTGATACTCTGAGCATGAAATTATACTTTTATGTATTATTTCATTTGTACATAAGTAACAGAGTATAAGTACACTCTTCAGATAAGTCACAAATGTTGAAAAATATACGTGTTGCTCAAAATACAGTATAATTTCCCCAAGAGTACCTCATATATGCATTGAAGTCAGACTAAGTGCAGCAAGTCAGAGGTTTCATTACGGCTTAACAAGAATTTCTCAGTAGCAGTTCTGTTCCCTGATTATGTTCATCTGGGTGTTAATTATATCACACATAATTAACTGCACGCTTCCATTAGTGCACGCCTTGGGAACCTATGGGACAGCCAGCCTCACTAGCTGTTACTACCAACATGCCCACAAACACTTTACTGAGATTTGGGTTAGTGACTAAGACACCGTGCTCCTCACTTTCTCATCTGTAAACTGACTGATAGTCCTAGCTAAAACTCTCCCATCATTTCCCTTTTTTGTTTTCTCACACAGATACATTTATTTTTTTATTTATAAAACCCAAAGGAATATGCTTGACAAAGTTTTTCATTCACAACCTCACAGGCTATGGGCAAACAAACTAAAATATTCTGCAAGTTTGAATTTTTCATGAAAGCAACAGCCACCTATTAAAAAACAAAAATCAAACCCCTGCATTCATGCATAAGAATATGCCCCCTGGAGAGTAGCTGCTTGATGAAGGGGGGCTCTTCCTTGCAAAAGTGGTTTCCTCCAGCCTATCTTGGGTGATTCCAAAACCTAACTGATTGTCTCTTGCTTCATCTCATTCTACCTAAGCAATAAAATCTTTCTTTCCTCCTTTCTTTCTGTACAACCTGTATTTTATTTTTCCTCTTCCCCCTCTGTTCTGATTGCATATATGATATGACAGTTGCAATACTGATTAATTTAATTAATTGTGGATAATAGATTTTGCAGGTTTCTCTCATTATGTGCAGGTTACTGTTCCTTTCAATAACTAGCAAAGAAATCTAAATCCAAGATAAATTTTGTTACTGTCAAAGGAGAAAAGCTCAGTAAGTAGTCTCGGCTTTATTCCAGTCTGACATATCAGATAATGGCTTTTCAAAAGTAAACCCCGCATTTGTACCAAAAGGTTAATATGTTGGATTATTCTTTTTTATTTATATGGTGTAAGTATTGCTTGCAATGCTGAAGGGTATTCTATTAAGCATTTTTAAACATTTCTGCACAGGCAGGAGATGCCTCATACAATCTGAACAATGGTCATGAAACTGGAATACTAATTGTCAACAATGTATCCAGAAACAATAAATTCTTTATGCTCATCTCAGAATCAGGAACTTCTGTTTCTTCTTCTTCTTAATATTATTCCATATTTCTTCCTCTTCAGAGAAACCCAAAAAGGTTTACAAGGTTCTCCTTATCTCCATTTCATTCACACAGCAACAACAACCCTGTGAGGGAGGTTAGGCTATCTGACAGTGACTGGCCCAAAGTTACCAAGTGGGCTTTATGGCTGGGATGGAACTGGAACCCAGGTCTTTCCTGAGTCCCAGCTGAGTCCTCTTAACCACTGTGCCACACTGGCTCTCTTAGTGATGGCCTGTCTGCGAAAGAAACCATTGTGAATCTCTGGATCTATTTTTTAAATCCCTATATATGGATAAGAATAGGGCATGTATTTTGGTGTGTGCATGGAAGCCTTGGTTATTGAAGAGATGATAAAATAATGTCGGTATGTGTGGAGCATTTGTTAGCTATACAGAGAGCAAGCACCAACCATGTGGCATTTGTGGGTGTGCTGGAGGGAAGGACTGTGCAGGTGCATTAATGAGAAGGGTGTGATTATAATGGATGTGGTGTTATCATCCAACAACATAATTCTCACTGTACTTTTTGCATTTCAGTTCCCTCTGACCATCTCATTGGCAACCCCCCCTTACCCCAAGCCTGTTCACATAAATCTGCCAATACGAAGTTAATACTTCATGCATCAGACACAAGTGGACTTTAGTCCAAGCAAGTTAATGCCTGAATAAAGGCTTTTGTCTTTAAGGTTTTGTGGTTTGGGTTTTTTCCCCTTTTGTTGAAAAGGACTAACAGAAATCTGCCTCTGGAAATTTTGTGTATGAAAGAGAGCGGCGTTTGTGTGTAAAGGAGTTGGACCTTCCTAGCACTACCAATTATCAGAGGGTCTTGTGTAGCTATTGCATCTCTTTCTCCTTAACTGTTTGTTTGGGTCTGTGCGTGGTCAAAAGAGGATGGAAGAAGCATTGGGGAGGCATGGCATGGTGACAAACAGTAGACAATAACATTAGACAGACACCCCCCCCCAAAAAAAAACCCCATTCTGTGACAAAGGCAAGGCAATGGAAGGATAAACACCTTGCCCAGGTAAGCATCCTAACTGGCTTTGTACAAGTGTGTAAAGACACAGCAGTGCTCTGCACATGCTTTGGACTTCACTCCCATCAGTTCCAGCCAGCATGGCTAATGCCAAGAATGCTGGGAGCTGTAATCCAAACATCTGGAAGGCAGTAGTTTGGGAAAGCCGGACATAGTAGGTATGGCAGTGTGTTTGTGACAGGGAAAGAATGGAATCAGGTGTCTGCGTAGGAAGAGGCTCGTTTTGTGCAACTCTGAGTGAAAAACCTGTGGTATTTGCACAGGTGTGTGTGAGAGCTAGTATGCGGGAGTCCATCCTTGTGTGAATAAGATTCTGGTATGTGATGATCCTATAACGTGCTACAGTGTACGAGGGAGAACACATGGGCGTGAGGTGGGGAGTCTTGCACAGGAATGTGGGGAAAGGATTTGTGTGCATCTGAGAGCAGGGGATCGTGTGTGAATGCAAATAAGGGGCCGGCGCGGGGTGGGCGTGTGAAAGCGAATATGGTGTCCGTGTGTGTGTTTGACAGCGAGAGCGCTCGTCTTTTGCGCTAAGGTCACGTCTAGGGAGGAATGAGCGCTCCGTGCGTGCGTGCGTGTGTGCGGGTGCGCGCGCGTGTGTGCACGCACAGAGTAAACGCTGTGGCAGTGGAAGGGAAGGGGAAAAGACCCCCATGTGGGTGGGCGCAAGTGAGGGGAGGGCTGGACACAGAGGGCTCGCCTCGCTTCCTCTCCTTCCCGCACCGCGCACAATGGAAGGCGGCAGCCCTGACCGAAGTGCTCCCTGGCCGCCGCCGCCGCCTCCCCGCGCCCGCAGGGATGTAGCGCCTCGTCCTCGTCGAAAGAGAAGCGGCTGTCGCCAGGCGCGCCAGCGACAGTCTGGCCCTCCACTCACCATCTTGCAGGGGGCGCTGGGAGGGCGCGCTCTGCTCGCTGCGGAGGACGCGGGGCGCTGTCCAGGGTATCGCCGCGCTGGCTGGGCTCGCCGGGTGATGGAGGCGCTCGGGCCCGGGCGGGCGGCCGGGCAGCAGCTCGCCGGCTCTCCTGCTCCCTCCTCCTCCTCCTCCTCCTCCTCCTCCGCCGCCGCCGCCGCCGCCTCCTCCTCTCTTTCTGCGGCTTAAGGCGAGCGCCGGCCCCCTCGGTCCCCTCCCCTCGTGCACGGCGCGGAGGCGACGGTGTCTTGCGAGGCGAGGCGGGGCGGGGCGGGGCGAAGGAGGGCCGGGGCCGGAGGGGAGGTCCCCAGAGCCGCCCGGCCGCCGCGGGGGGCGCGCCACGCGTGCGTAGGGGGGCTCCCCAGCTGGAAGAGGCACCGTCAGGCTGCAGCTCGACGCGCGCAGGACTCCGCGGGGCTTGCTCCAGACTGGAGGCACGGAGAGGCCTGCGGGGAGGGGGCGTGTGTGCGGAAGAGCATGCCGCTCTTCCTTTCCTGCGGGCCTGGCTGAGCGAGCGCCCTTGGGGGGTCCCAGCGCTTGCCCCACCTCACCCGTTGCCCTAATCGGCTCCCCAAAGGGCCTCAGCAGCTTTGCAAGATATGCCCAGGGGTTGGAAGAGCACGCGGGATGAAAATCCGGAACATGCGCCAGAGAAGGCGGTGATCCTTTATACACACGTGCTGGGGGGGGGGGGGGGCGTACGTCCGAATGGGTGTGCGTAGGATTGCACTGGGAAAATAAGAGAGGCTGTTGTCATTGGAGCCCTTCACCTTGCATAAAGCATAAAACGACCTCCCCAAGTGGGTGCCCTCCAGATGCACTGGAATACAACTCTCATCATCCCCAGTCAGTATGTTCTGGTTGGGAAACTGCAGTCCACTGCATGAGGAGATCCCTAAAAGTTGGGAGAGTGGCAAAGGGGGGTATGCGCCTTGTTAGTGGTGCCCTCACACTGCAGAATCGTTTCCCCACTAAGGCCAGTTTTGCTATCTTTTCTGCACCCAGCTAATGCCATTCTTTTATTTGAGGCAGCAGGAGGCATTTAATGGGAGAAGGTTTTGATGTCAATCTAGTAGAGAAAAAAAAAACATTTGAATGCTTACATTGTTTTAAATTGTGCATATCAGGAAGATTATTCTTCTTTATTGGATTGTGGTTTCTGTGTTTTTTATGAATTGTTGTGACACCCCTCCCCAGAGCTTTGGCTATTGGGCAGTTTAGAAAATAAATAATAATAAGGGTATGCTTGCTGCAGAAAAGGTAACTCTGTGAGTGTCGAAGATAAGCCAAGGATAACCAGAGACAGGGATACCCATCATTCTGCTTTCTAAGGTGAGGGGGAAATGGCACTCATTCCCCATTCCACATGCAGAAACTGAACAGCACAGATTTGCACCTGGTCCACCACTGACCTTAATGCCAGTCAGAAGGGACAAAGTCAGGGAAGATGTCATGACCCAAAAAATAGCGCCAAGAATTATGTGGCAACTCTGATAGACTGAGCACAGTGCTGAAGAGAGATTTACTCCACACATATTTGCAGTAAAATGGTTAAATATTTAGTAGTAGCATTTGCCCTTTTCCAGAGTAACATTCTGTTCTGCAAACAGAGAGCTTTTGGTACAGTATGGTTGAAACATTTTATTAATATTAAATGAAACTCAAGTAAGGTGATGCCTGTGCCCATTTCAAACTATTCTTTGTGTTAGCTGATGCAGGTCAGTGAGTCACTGGCTAAATATACATTCCCTACTAGAATTCAGAAGTTGAATTCAGGCTCATTTTCTCATCTCTAGCCTGACCAGTCATTGCCCCAGATAAGAATCAAGATGGTAGGTGCTGGAACCTGGTGGGTAGTCATCTAAGTACATCTGGACCCTGGCAACTGATAGATTCTTCCAGCTGCAAGCACCTGCCATGAACAGCATGAAACGCAGGTGTACCTTAACTGCATCAGCCAGATGAGCTGCAAAGTGGCTTCAGAACCGTTGTTTTTGCCATTGATAAGATCTCAATTAGGAAAGAATCTAAGAGCAAAACTGTATACTGTGCTGCAGGCCCTGGCACTCTCCAGATATTCTGGGCTACAACTTCCATCACCTCAGCCTTGCTTGGGGATGCACAGCACATGGATGGTGCAAGGTTGCCTATTTCTGCACTACTTGAACTCCCAATTATTTTATCTTCAAAAATAAAAACCCTGGCTATGCAGAGGGTGGACTTAAATTGGGATTGGGGTGGGGGGACTGTCAAGTTAGCCTTTCTCCCTTCTTTGTTGTCTTAATCCAAATCATTCCTGCCCTGAACTGCTTTTAGCTGCGCAAGGGAAAACAAACAGGCCCAAAGACTGTGTCTTTTGGTGATCCCCCTCTGCAAGAACTCCACAGAAGTGATTTAAAACAGGGAATCAGTATGAGGACAACTGTTCATTTATTATATGCACATCCTACCTTTTAGGAAAGATAAGGAAACCCAGGGAGTTTCCATAATTCTTAGCTCCATGTTATCCTCACAAGAACCCTGCAAGGTAGAAAGTAGACAATGACTCTTCCAAAGCACAGTCTGAAATACTCATTAGATTCTGAATACCTTAAGTACCCTAGACTGGCCAACAGCTTAGGACAGGAGTTGCTATCTAGGCAGCCATAGTTTAGCCCTCTCTTCAATTCAGCATGGAATAATGAACTTCAATTATATACCTATATACCTGTCTAAATGCCGTCATCCCCCCTTTTTCTCCTGCCACTTGCAGAGCCTATTGCCTTTTTCCTCTGCTTCCTCTCTCCTTTCTTTTTCTTTTCCTAGTTTGTCTCCTTCCCAAATGATGAAGCCATCCGTCATCTGGGTGGACTTATGCTTATATTTTGGTAGCAAGAGGGCAAAAGGGATCCGTCTGCATGCAAGCTTCTTTTCGGCCACTTCCACCTTCTTAATTCTTAATTCAATGTGATTGGCTCTCTACTGCCACTCAGTGGCCCACTGCATTGTGATAATGTCTTATTCAGTCCCATATTATTATAATTATTACATTACATTTCTATACCACACGTTGTGGAAGCTCCTTGGGCAGTTCACACCCATCCATTTAAGTCACCCATCCAGATTGCAACCGTACCCGACCCTGTTTAGCTTCCAAGATTAAACAGGATAAGGCACTTCAAGCTATATGGAAGACCCATATGGGGCAGGCCAAAGCAGCACACTTGCCTTGAGCTACCTGTAGCCTTGGTCAATGACTATGGCCCTAATTTAGATATTCCCAGCATATTTTAACCATATTTCAAAAACCTTACTCAATTCACATTTGACCACATGCCATGGGGACACTCAATGAGATATTAGACCCGATTCTTGCCAGAGCATTTTATCCCACTGAACAACCACTGTATGGTGCTTATTTGAATTCTGTTGGGTGGATGTTTGGCACCTCTTCCATCCACCCAAAGTTGCTTAGACTCATATCTCCATGTACACCAAACTTTGTTAGAACAAATAACTTCCTAATATCAGCATAACATTTGGGGACACTGTCCATTTCATCACATGCATGAAGTGTTAACTTCAAATTGGCAGTTTTATATAGGGGATGTGGCAAAGCAGGAAATTTAATGGTATCACCACAGGGGATTAAAATGCAAACTACAGGCAGTGATTATTTTAATGGGTGCCATTCACAAAGCCATGGATGATAGCACAGGTGTCATTGCAAGCATGAGCCACCGAATGTGTTCCGTGATTTAAACAAGGCAAGGCAAGGCAAGGCAAGGCAAGGCAAGGCAAGGACCTTTGTCTTTCTTCATACCACAGGAAAATAGAGTCACATCTCTTCATGAATTGTATTTCAGCAATTCTGCATTTGTATCTATCTTTGAAATTCTTTTGTTCAAGAATGGCAAGTCACAGCAGGCTGTCATGTCATGTGAACTTTGAGTGACAAGCCACCCTGACGATCATTGGCATGTTGTACGGTTTGTTGAACCAACAATGAGTTGTTGCATCATCCAAACTCATTGTCTGACAAGGGAAGCAACTAGTGAGCCACTCAACAAGAATAGCAACCTGTCCCATGGAGAACACAGTAGGACACTGCTGGTAAATTACGTTATATATCACATTGGAAGGTGAGCAGCTGTATGTATCCCTAATATTGTGGATGGCATGATCTGGTCCAGCAACAACATTGTCAGAGAAGATAGAGAGAGAAGATTGACATATGTGTCTGCTGCAAGGTCTGAGTCCTGTGACTGCATCTTTGTTGTGAGGTCAGATGTTGCTGATGAGTATAATTTTAGGTTGGTGGTGTCAGGATTCCAGACCTGTTTGGAACAAATACTCAGCTTCAGTGCAAGCATACAATCAAGCACTCAACAGTTTTATTTATGGTGTTGAAGGGTAGCAGTTAAGGAAATGCTATGAGGAAACAAGGCATGTGCAGAGTGTTTTATGTAAGGTTTTCTGCAGGGAGGGTAATGAAACCTTGAATGAGCAATATGCAAGAGCAATGAAGCACAAAGGGAAGATACAGAAACATTGAGAAACCATTACAGACAGGAAAAACACCCGGATGCATCAAGATAAAACAAGGAGAAGTTACAGAATTTAACAGGCTTCAATGTTTGCTTTTTATAGTCAGAGGTAGAACACTGCAGGAAGACAATGATGAGCTGGCCCAGTATTTGAATGTTCAAACTAGTTGCCTTGCTGGCTGTGCTCAACATTTGAGAGCAAATTGTCTATCATTCCATATCAAATGTGGGGCTCCTTTTCCCATAGAAGGAACTTGAATGGGAAAACCCTGCAGAATGGACTGGGGGTGGGGAGTGGAAGGGAAACAGGCAGTTTTCTATATTCTAAAGTACAAAACATATAACTTGTATAAGGGCAACTCCAACAATGGATACCTGTAACCAAGTGCAGACCTGTGCCTTTAAGGGCTGGTTTTACACACTTTAGAGCCAGGTGGAATTACACACTGTTACACACACAAATTAGCATCTGTATATTTTCTGTCCTGTGGTCCTGAGCCACAAATCTTTGTGGCTTGAGGAATGCCTCTGCAAGACGGTGCCTATGCCTCTGCAAATTCTCTTAAGCCGCAACAGCT